TGTATTCTTCTGCCCCCGCCCCCCACCAGCCCCCATACAACTACAGATGCTCTCTCTACAAAAAAAGATATAGGTTAAAAATCAATATCAGACCAAAATGCACTGTTTAAATGAAATTGTTTGTACTGGAATTACGCCTAGCTGTTCCCTGGCATCTTTTCCCCACCAACATTATAATACATTTATGAACACATATTTTATTGTCTTTTGACATGAGAAAGAACAATGTGTAACTGATGAGGGAGGACACTGAAATCATAGGGTCCTTAGTATGGACTTTGGGGTTCCAGTCCCAAGATCCTGGGTATATATAATTAACTTTCCTGAGCGTCATTTTTACCATGTGTATAAAGGTGATAACAATGCCTACTCCACAGGGATATTATGATAATGAAACTAGACAATGTAGGCATCGAATACAATGCATGATGCATAGTAGGTATTCAAGTAGTGGTATATTGTTTATGTTTATATTAAATTAAACTCCTAGAGTCAGGCATACATTACACAAAACTTCAGGAACTTCAGAAAAATAAATTCCATAATTTTACATTAGCAATATATTTAGTACTAACTCTCCTTCAATTTAGTGATGCTGCGTTACTGTGTTTCCTCATCATTAGCATCAAACCTATACTTTTAAGCTTTTGGGGCTTTAGAGGCACATGGAGGCAATCAGCAAACACCATTTACTGCTGAAGGTTAAAGCAGCTGTACCCTGTAATCTCCTTCTCAGCTGCCAATACTAATTTAATACAAAGAGGTGAACACATGGCTGAAATGCTTGGTGCAGTGTATATTTTTCCCATCTTGCTTTAAGATTATGAAAATTACATATTGTCTACAAAGCTAGGATTTCTAGTTAGTGATAGTTTTCCAACATCAGAACACTAAATATACCAAAATTCCAAGATACTCTACTATGAATTAAAATTTGATATCTGTTCACATTCAATTTGATTAAAATTCAGGAACCAAGCAGAAAAAGATTAACAAAGTAAATGAGAATATTCAGAAGGAAAAAGAAAAAAAATCTAGTAAAGAGAAGAGGGGCAATCATCCTAATAATAACTTGAATTTTCTATATTTATCCATGTGTATTTGCTTCACTTGGTTGTCAATTTTAATTGGTCTGCAACATACTGTGGTTCTTATGTATTCAGAATTTCAATTGTTATTTTTGCCATCGACTACAGTATCCCAAAATGCAGTCTATTCCTAGTGAATAATAAGGGTTTCTCTCATAATGGAAATTTATAACTTATAAAATCTACTGTTAGTTTTTATATCTTTGACACAACTGTTTTGTGTGCATCAAATGGGAACTGTCTCCTTCATAAATCATACCTATGTTACTAAGAGCAAGGATGATTCAGCAAGATTGGCCCAAAGGTTAGAACCAAGGCAGGTATGTACCAAAATGTCAGAAGTCCACTACTGATACTCATGTCTTTCCAGTGCAATTGTTTCCTGGGTGACATGACTTTTTTTTTCTAACCAACTTTCTTAT